GACACGCCTGACCTAATTTATTCGGGAAACTTCATCTCCAAGTGATTTCTTGTATAGCATAATGGTTAAAAAAACATTTATCTCTAATGCAATTTTTTACGCACCGCGGAAACCTTGAGCGATATCGCGTTTCATCAACCGGAAAAAAAAACACAACCGGAGGAAGTCTGCCTCTGAAAAGATTGACTTCATAAAATATAACTAGAATCCCGCGTGTTTTTCCACATCTCAGGACGGTTATGTCCAAGGTGACACTAAGTCGACCAAACACTAATTATTTATTAATCACAACGAATTTTCACAATATCACGAACAATAAAAGAAACTTCAGCACACTATTGTCTGTATATAAAACAATAACAAAACCATGCGCTTGCCGAGATTGCAGTCCGATTTGAGCTATCGTAATAAGGACCCAATTGCAGAACAACAGGATGTTTAGGATCCGGCCTCGCGAGTTTCGATCGTTCAGAACTTCCGACGGACGGTAAAGTTTCTGCTGAGTTGATAGGACCGTATCCTTAATGCCACGCAGGCAAGGCCGCGACACTACGTCACGATGACGTAAAACGCTCACGATTTCGCAACCTGCTGCGCTCTTAATGACGCAGCAGAGAATTGCTCACAACACAGAACGTAGCGAGTTGGGATCGCACTAATTCCGTAAGCGTGAATTACAGAGCGTGAATTCCCAACAGAACGAATGCACAAATGGATGAGCTATTAAAAAAGTTACCGCGCGACGCAGTTGAGCATTTCCAGACTAAACGCGCTCACTAACATCAGTGCGACGAATGCGAGTCAAGGATGAAAATATTTCCTGTATGCAAATAAAAAAGATTTTCAATTCTGCATACGCGAATAAACAGTTTCTGTACTAGGAAGCCTCAACGTTGACAAACATAGCAAGACTTACCGGCCTAAATGGAAAGGGTTGATTACAAGATTATGCTCAAGTTTTTGTCGGCTATGAAAAGAGATGAATACAGGAATTAAGCCATCAAAAACTGGATTACCAACTCACATGAGCTCATCAATCATGCGAACCATCACGCTGAATTGTGCTATGTGCGTAGAAAGCACAATTCATATCAAATCTATAAGTGATCTCCTGACTCAGAAGTAGATGAATTGTAAAAAAAAATATAAGAGATTCTGGCTCTTCCCTACCTACTCGTCAAGCAGGTGTGCGCAAGACTCCAATACTCGTACATGATAACGCTCTCGACTCTTGACGCGATAACAGCCTCGTATCACACGTGAACAAATTAAACCAGGAACACCGAAAATACGCAGTAATTTCTCCATGTAATAGCTTAAGCATACATATACCTGACAGCACAATCAGTTTGAAAAATATTGAAGTAAAATATATGTGAGTGCAATATGTTGAATTATAATTGCGATAGGATACATTCCGGATCGCGAAACAAATTTTACAAAGTTAAAATCGATCACATTAATATCAATTCCAAGGCATAAGAAAATCATCCATGATAGCGAATTTTTCAAATTTATATAGTGAAGACAATAAATTGGGAAATATATAGTGATGATAACTGCATGTTCACACCAAGACAAACGCATGGTATGAGAATCTCATGCATTAACATTGTGGACGGTTAAGATTGTATTCCTGGGGCCATACTTTCAAAATTCGCTAAGTGAACGTTAGTACTGACGCTCTATTTTCTTGTCTATGATTGGTGGATTTTGCTTGAAAGGCCGTCAATGATTGGCTGATGAACTTACGATCTCTTAACTTTTTTTGAAAGTATAGGCCCTGCACGTCAAGAACAAAGCCTTTATGTATTAGCAATTGCAAGCGACTATACGTACGTGCCTACAGAATCAACGAAGAGGCGGAAATCCTTATGACGCGTAAACAAGTCCCGGAAAGTTTAATCAACATAATAATAATCCCCAGGTGATGGAAGATACGAACACTAAAGCTTCTTAGCTCCGTGAAAATTTCCCGGCGAGGTAAGATTTGCAAGAAGGAAACGAAAAATTTGTGGAAAATGACATTTGTTGAGAACGCGACGGGGAATTCCCGTTTGTCGCCAGAGACGATGCGTTTCACCTCAAAGGCTCAAGCCATGCGAGGATGTGCTAAGACACTCGCCCTTCAATAAAAAGCCACTCGCATCAAGCACATTTTAGGTTTAACAAGCCTCTGTATTTTTATAAATTAGCGGAAAATGCAATCATGAGTGACAAACACTTAATATAAAAGTGGTAAAATCATCATAGAATGGGCCCCTCGATGTTGGTATTTATTAAAATCACAGGGGTTCGTTTTTACCCAAAATGCTTTTGCCCAATATGCTGCTATTGCATAATTCCACTCCTTTTAGCGCATTTTCTCAATTATGAAAAAAGGCGCTATTGTGCTCGTCATATGTCCGTCCGTCCGTCTGTCCGTGACGGACGGACGGACGTGAGAAAATGCGCTCGCTGTCACTCACTTTAGTAAGCACTGAGCTAATTCTTTAATCTTTTTGCAAGAAAATCACAACAAACCTGAAATCTAAACAAACATAGCTTAGGAAAACACCATCAAATTTAAATTTAGACAAGGACGAATCATGAGTTTCGTGATCAAGTTTAGAGTTGTTTGCCTCGAGTATTTTTGTCGCCAGAGACGATGCGTTTCACCTCAAAGGCTCAAGCCATGCGAGGATGTGCTAAGACACTCGCCCTTCAATAAAAAGCCACTCGCATCAATCACGTTTTAGGTTTCAGGCCTCTGTATTTTAATAAATTACTGTAAACTGCAACCTAGAGTGGCAAACACTAAGTATAAAAGTGTTAAAATCACCATTGAAAGGATCCCCAGGTAGCTTTTTTTTGATAATAAAATTGGTTCGTATACGACAATTTTTCATGGATTTCAAACCATGCATTTACTGTACTGAACCATGAATAAATTTTTTTAATCAATTCTTTTGCCCAATATGCTGCTGCATAGTTCAAATGTTTTTAGCGCATTTTTTCATTTATGGAAAAAAGGCGCTCGAAATATCATGAGTTTAAGGATGCTCGATGACCGACAAAGGTGAGAGCTTCCCAGTAAAAATTTACGGACTCGCCGTCAAACGTAGGTATAGAAAACACCATAAACTTTAAAGTTATACTAAGACGAATCATGAGTGTCGTTAAAGCTAGTATAGACTTGTTTGCATCAAGTATTAGGCCATATTTACCTCTGAACTTCAAATGCAGCGCTAAAATCCAATCTTTCTAACAGTCAAGATAACATGAATCGCATGACTCAGCAAGTTAAATTAAGTGTAACTTTACGTGTCGCTTCGGACTGCATATTTTCTACAAGTATTTTACAGGAAAATAAAAACGCTTGCAGATACGTAACGCTTCAGTTTACACCCAGATGCATGGAGGCTACAAGAAATCTTAAATGCAATTGAATCGCACAATCACCAAACAAAAAGCCTCTTTTGATATGTTTTGAGATGAGTTGAAACAACCGAAAAATCATTACACATGGCTTCATAATTACATACTCGCCGTCATTTAAGCCATAATACAAAAATTGTCAATAATTTTATTTTGGATGCAGGTCGCACAGCTGTTGCGGTGAGGATGCAAAATGTAAAATAATCGTAATATTAATCTGCTGTGACGATTTTTTTAGCGTACCCCATGGCTATAGTAAACGGGTTTAGCTGAAACCGCTCCCAAGCCGAACCACACCGGGGGCACAGAAATCAAGGTTCACAACAGTCCGAAATAGCGGAGGGAGCTCCTCCCTAATTGTTTCAACACCAATTGGAGCATTGACCGAATTTTATGTTCGACGGCTTTGTTGCTTTAAACTGGGACTGGGTCTACGTGCCCTGCTGGGTCGGGGTTGTATTGAGATAAACTGTGCGATCAAGCGAATTGCATAAGGACAGCATTGATGATATTGGAGTAGCAACATAATGGTATTGATACCATTGCCCATATAAATCAAGCTGTTTATTAATACGGGACTATAATGCAATGAAAATTTAATTGACGTGTCAATATTCGGTTGATATTAGCTGCATCAATGCATAATCTATGAAGCAAAACACAATCATGAGCATCGGGTGTTTGCGAGCCAACTCTAGGCGTCAAGTGCCGCTGCCGGTAGCGTGGAACTATCTCGAATGGGCGATAACTTTTAAAGAGCTGCGGCCTGCAACCACCCAAGAAAGGACAACTTTAAGGTTGCAAGCGTGAACATTGCTTAGACTGATCCTGCTTTTTAATAACATACTGAATGACCACAGCCTCAAATGAGTAAATTCCTTCACATAGCATTATTGACATATTGATTTGTAATCAGTCATTGCGTTCGGGAATCAAAATATATCTTATGGTTACATGAATGGTCGTACTGTCAGCAGAAGTGAATGTTTTTTTCACTGTGAGAGTTATAAACATGCACCGACACGCCGCTTAGTTTGCGAGGCTAACCAACCGTTGTAACACGAGCCGAAGACGACCTAGGAGAAGCGTATAGTGAATGGAAAAGTTCGTTTACGTAGTTTTCAACGGCAGCTTATAGAACTGTAAAACCAAATAAATAACTATTTCAGACAGCTGCTTTTCAACAATTCACTACATCCGCATACTTATGGTGTCATATTATTAGAATTATGGATAACTTTATTAAAAAATCTATTAAAATACCTTATCTAATTCACTTTTTCCGACTGACCCACTCGGATGTTGGTTTCCAATTCAGAATTAGAAATTAATTTATCAATTGTACCATAGGTTATTATTAAATACTAATCAAATAATACATTTAAGACTGAACAAACAAGATTAAAATAATTGGAAAGGGGGAACAGTAGAACCCGGCCTTCTGTTCTAGCGTGCGTCATCATCAGCTTTATGTTTGTGACAGATCTTTATCTTGCAGCCGTGAGCATCCCTAAACACAATAGTTCACCTCTGAAACACAGTTAAATAATTTAATACATTGAGTCAATGGCTCATCTACTTACCATTAGCTTTTGCGTATCCCCAGGAAGCCATGGTTGAAGTTCTTTAGATGTAGTGAACTCGCGGATAACTGAGTAGGGAATGGAAGACGTGCGATATGCTTACTCAACGGGTGCGCTGACAACACTGACCGCTGTGGCGACTGTGGCGGGCTTATGATGCTCACTGTGTGCAGTGACAGAGTTGCTTCACTCTCTCGGCTCAGCTGACTTTACTACGACTGGCATGAATGGGCTCAGTCAGTAAGCTACTACATATAATAACGATATATCAACAATAATTATTGCTGACAAAACCTTAGACTGTGGAAGAAGGCTTCTTTCATAACTGCGCTTATAATCCGACCCTGTTAATAGAGTCTTTATAATAAAAAAATGTATCGTGTTGATAAAGTTGACATTCTGTGTAGTTATTGTGAGTGATGTTAACCTAGAAGCACGCGCACACGCGCGCGTCTCACGGGGGGCTCTGTATTCATAATTATACGCACCTTTGGATGCTGATCACGAACAGCGTTTGAATGCTCATCAATTATGAGCACACCTAAGGCTTATATTCCGTGCACTCATTGACTGCAGAAGCTTAACATGTAACGCGCATGCCGGCAGCATTCAGTTTTACTCAACGAGCTACGAGTGACGTCAAACAACACAGCAATCATCTACTGCACTATTTATATTTTTGCTGTGAAGATTTTTAGCTACTTTTGGATGATTGACGATTCAGTTGTTGTAAAGTTACAAATTGTTCAAACCTTCATTTGTTCTTGGCTGCTGTTATTGTGTCTTCGTGAGAAATGGGGTTGTCTGGTGCAAATTTATTGTTAAAATGTGCTCCGACTGTACTTTATTTGAAGCTATGCCTTACTAAATCTTTTTTCTTTTTAGAGCTATCACATTTAGTTTTCTTTATTTTTACTTAAATTGTAAGTGCTTAATTAAGCTTTGATAGGAGAAGGCAGACTGTGACGTGCCTTCCTAGGTTTTGCAGTTTCCTGCATGTCATGTGACAACCTTCGCCTCTAGACTTTTGCCTCTAGATTTTTTGCCAAAATTTATAAAAAATAAAGTGCAGTTATGAGTCTAACTTGTTAAGAATTTTTTAGTATACCCTTCTTTAATTGGACTTTTCTTTTTAACCGCTTCTTAATTGACTCTTAAAATTACAGCTTATGGGTAAAAGATTTGAAGGTGAGTGATAGTTTACTTCAATATTGAAATAGTGATATGAGATTTTTAGTCCATTAAACCAACATATTAATTACTTTTGTATTGCGTGGTAGCTTTTACTTTGTTTATTGTGAATCTCATCTACTCAGGTGGGAAGGCACGACTTTAACTCTGTGACTCGGAAATATCCCTCATTATTAATTAAATTTTTTTAGTGTGCATTAATGTGTGCAATTTACCCGATTCATAAATTTTGCATTAAGTCGATTATAGTGATTATTTTTAGGAAATATTACACTAATTCTTCCTAATTATACCCGGGTTTTATTTGTTTCTACCGTTAAATTGGGATAGAGTTGTCGTCTGTATAAATCCGCCCACCCAGTCGTCTGTATAAATCCGCCCACGCAGTCGTCTGTATAAGTCCTCCCACCCAGTCGTCTGTATAAATCTGCCCACCCAGCCGTCTGTATAAATCTGCCCACCCAGTCGTCTGTATAAATCCGCCCACGCAGTCGTCTGTATAAATCCGCCCACGCAGTCGTCTGCATAAATCCTTCGAAAATATATATTACAATCAATTTTACATTTTGTTTTCGAGCTTGCTTTATCTCAGACATAAACCCGGAATTTCCAAGCATATCATCGGTATCGGTATTGAGCATCTGCTCAATGTTATCATTTGCTCAATGTTAGCATTTGCTCATGCAATGTTTGCATCTCTTCAATGTTAGCATCTGCTCAATGTTACATATGCTCAATATGTTAGCATCTGCTCAATGTTAGCATCTGCTCAATCAATGTTAGCATTTGCTCAATGTTAGCATCTGTTCAATTTTAGCATCTGCTCAATATATTAGCATCTGCTCAATATATTAGCATCTGCTCAATATATTAGCATCTGCTCAATATATCAGCATCTGCTCAATATATTNCTATATTAGCATCTGTTCACTATATTAGCATCTGTTCACTATATTAGCATCTGCTCAATAAAGATATCTGTCCAGCAAAGATATGTCACCATTTGCAATGCGACCTACTGAGATTGTCGCCACCGGGGCCGATATTTGGTTTCGTATTGGATATTGAATGCTGATCATTACAAAGGCATTGAATTATTTGAATTTTTAATTGATTTTTTCCAAATTGTAGAAATTTTGGACACGGAATAGCCTTAGATATCAATTGCCCTTACTACTTAGAACATTCGCATTAACGAATCAGAAGTGATAAAGATTGAAAATAACTCAATAAAAACAACCTAAATAGTCGAAACCATTGAAATCATGAAGAATCTGAAATTTAAAGGACATTTCTCTCAAGAAAGGCAAATTTGTAAAGATATTTCTAACTTTCTCGGCACTCTGCCGAGAAAGAGTTTACCATACGCAGTGACGGTATGAGCAACGTTCATGTGTGAAGTCCACGAATATTTTGATAACAGGTAAAAATATGAATTTTGATAATAAGTATGTCTGTAAACTACTGATTATATCGAAAATTGTATCATACAATTTTGTGAAAAAACTTCTGCGATAAAACTAGAGCTTACCTTGAGTCTATTCTGATTTTTGACAGTCCATGTAATTTATAGGGATGTGGGTTTCCTTGCATTATAAACATCATTGTATTAAAGGTTACATGTACTTTGTAAAACGTATTACTTGCTATTGTAAAGAACCGTTTGGCTTGTCTTATAAGGAAGCAACTTTACAAAATAGCCATGACGCTTTGAAGGGCGCCCGACCATGGGCACACGAGTTTTTGTTATAGATATGTTTGGTTGAAATTTTATAACTAATGTTTTTTATTAGAAATTTTGGAGAGTAAATTTTAAAAATCAGAAACTATTTCTGTTTATAATTTTTGCCGAATGATTGAAACTTTGGCATTCAAATGCAACAGCCCTACACTGATAACTTGTGCTGGAATAAATTGTCATCTCTAGAAAATTGACGAAAATTTTAGGTGGGGAACCTAAAATCATTTTCGACTAGTAAAAAACCTGCGGGTATTTTCTCAAGGAATATAGAAGCGAGCACTAGACCTTCCTACATGGATCATTGCCTACCCTGGTAGGAATAACACTCTGAATGAAAAGACAAACTTATTTACTTGGGTGGTGCCGAATTAACTTCACGAATGTTAGCTTGGTGTCTGACCATCGAGAAGTGTTTGTTCGGGCCGCTGCATTCTGCATCGTGTTTTGCATGCCTCCGTTGAATACTTCTGTTTGATGTTTAAATTATTATATTCACTTCAGCATTTGTACAGAGTATAGATTTACTTATCTCGTAAAACTATACCTTGTATCTATTAATTGTCGCATATGTGTGTCCTGTAGTCTCTATGACTGCACAAAAAAATTATTTTTGCATCACTGCATGCATAACGAGTTTGTTCAACCAGGAGCCATTAGGCAACTGCATTAGGTAAACAATTGGAAGACTATATAAGCCTTGACTGGATTCAGGGGTGCGTAGATAGCAACTCGTGGAACCATAAACTCAGTCGTTGGTGGATTTTCATTGGAATCGATATAAACTGTAACGTGATGTGAGTACTTATATTGATATATTGATATATATAGTTACGGTTATATACCCATTTCTAAACACTTCATTTCTTCTTCTACTTACATTGATATATTATAGCCAAGGAGTTACAGTTATATGCTTATTTCTAAAAGTGGTAGTCTGTTTTGTGCTAAATTATAATCCTTTTTGTATTCAGTAATCTGTACCATGAAAAATGCTTCGACAATTACAGCTTCTGTATCTTTTGCATTGCTACCATTGTATTGCATTGTCCAACAGAGCTGTTGCCTACAATTGCTTTACAAAGATGAAATGCGTTCAGCGCATATAATATTCAATCATCAAATGTGTTTTCCGGGAGCAGCCATAGATATACGAATAAAAAGGTTGATTTAGCAGCGTTAATTGTATCTTGCTTCCTAAATCATGTTTTTTAATCTCTACACAAGCGGTAGATTGTAACCTGACGAATACATGTTGTCTGTTGTAATGTTTTCTGTACACATTCTAAGGATAGGCGAAGGTCGTCAAGTGCTTTCTTTTGATTACTTCTTTTGACTAACCAGTGTGTTTCCTTTTAGCGTATTGTGGAAATACTACGGATGAATCATTGTGTTTTGTTGCAGCAAATTTTGTAAATGTTACGGATGAAACAATGTGTTTTGTTGTAGCAAATTTTGTAATGTTACGGATGGAACAATGTGTTTTGATGTAGCAAATTTTGTAATGTTACGGATGAAACAATGTGTTTTGTTGTAGCAAATTTTGTAATGTTACGGATGAAACATTGTGTTTTGTTGTAGCGGATTTTGTAATGTTACGGATGAANGTAGCAGGCGGTCACTCCTCAGGCTCGTTGCAAGGTGGCGGGCAAGGCGGTGGTTTCGCTGGAGCGACGGCGGCGGCGGGTGGCGGGCACGTTCACGGCGGCACTGGCTTCGTGTCGGTTGGCGGGACCGCTGTCGTCGGGCGCTAAATTTTCTTTTAAATTTTTCCTTAAATTTTATTTTCTCTCGCCATCGAATGAATTTTTTTAATTTCTCTCGTGTAACTTCCATTTTCTTCAAACTATCCATCGTAGCTGCGTTGAAAATTATACTAAATTCGCCTGCGTTGTGTTTTTTTTCCATTATATGGTGGGTTTTCCTCTTGTGTCTCAAAGTAGGGTGAACATCAACGAAGCTACGACATTTTTTGGTAGGCAATTGTTCATATCTACTTTCACACAATTGACATCGTTGAAAATTGACTGGATACGTCGCAGTGGCCATAAAATCATTTGGTTTGACGAAACGAAGCAAAAGTTGTGACTGTTAACAAATGTTTATTTCATTAATAGATTTCGAGAACTCTAATGATTTTTTTTATCCACATCTCACACTCAAATTCAGTTTAAGATCGATACGGTTGCTTGGAATAACTTTCTTAAAACGAGTCCCGCATTTCGCGCTCAAAAGTCCCCCCGTCACATTAGAGGGGTGCCGCGAGGTGTCACAACATCTATAGCTCTCCTTTACTTTGTGGAGCGTGTGATACTGACTATAATAACTGAAGCATTATATCGTCAACAGTGTTTTGTGTCAAAGTTTATTGCATCCTGTTCATTTTAAACATTGTGCAGGAACGCGGTGACATCAAAAAGGCTTTTTAACTTAAATTAAACGGGCACCATGCAGACACTGGACACTAATGTGAAGACAACTCCTGGAATAGTTCTCAATATTATCGTTTAAAAAAATATTCCTATTAATGTACAGGGAATTACGTTAAAAAAAACGTTAAATGTGGCTTATTAGAAAGAAATTTGTGCATTGCTGTATGATTTCTTAATAAAAAATTAAGTTTGTCTTACATGAGATATGAAGAAAAGACTTGATAATCTGAAGTTATATTGACAAAATTCAGACTCTCGTCCCAATCGTCGTTGAAGAGGAGATTTGTTAGTTTTTTCATCTAATTTAAACGTAAATGTAAATGAGAGTATTTATCACGTGAAATTGCACGAGTTTGAAACATTGCGCGACGGTGAGAATGAACTCTGAAGACGCATTTCGTTATTACCACAAACGCGAATGCCCCCACTTCAACGGATCGTGGATTCCAACGTAAAATTGTAATATGTCCTAATATATTCAAGGAGGAATTTTCAATGGCTTGTGAAATGTTCTGTTTTCTATCAAACAATGATACGTATCAGCAAATTTTTATTTATTTTTTTTTTATTCTGCATGATAAAACTTTTTGACACCCTTCGCGAAAATCCATCAGAAGTATACGTCTCGTGCTTTTCAAACGGAGTGAAGAATGAGGCATGTTTAACCTCGGCATTCGAAATGAGAGGTGCATTGAAAAAATTTCAAGTCATAGTACAACATTAGAAATTGAAAGCAACGCTCGTCACTGTGAAATCTTTGGCAGTAAAATTTTTTCCGGGACAGAAATCTATGGTTAGTTAATTTTCTTTGAATTTTACATTGATTCGAAAAAGTTTTGGAACTGAAAACGTTTATTCACTTTTTTTACAGTTCATGGCGCTTAGTTGATCGCTCTAACGAGAGTTCTAATTTCTTTTTCTGATTATGTGCTATTTAACATTGTATTCAACCATCCTCCCTACCTATATACTCGAAGCTATAAAATACAACTTCATTTAAATTATTGTTCATCACCCTTTTAAACACAATAAGTACGTTTATCAGCAGCTTAATTAAAGTTCACGCATAGTGATTTTGATAGAACGACAATAAGAAATTTATTTCCACTATTGAGACTTTGTTCAACGAAGTTAGAGTTCAGAATTATTAATCGCGCTTCTCTCATTTAAAGATTTTTTTCTTTCACATTAGTGTTATTTATTACCATTGAACTGTGTTGAATCGTCCCATTAATTCGAAAGTAAATTTCCATTTGTGGTCCTATAGTTTTTTCAACCATTATGTAGAAATCATAATCTGTACCGAAGAGTCCGAATAAGAAATCGCTTGTAGCTCGTAGTTTTGTCGTATCGTTGAACCATTTTATTTCCTATCCATTTGGTTGCCAGCTCAAATAAGTCTGCGGGACGCGCAGCCTGAAATAGAAGGGACCACGGACCACACCCGCTGCAGCCTATAACCTCTCTGCCGTGACCTCTTATACACATCTAGATGTGTATAAGAGACATTGGCGGTGGATCAGGTGGCGGTATTGGCGGTGGATCAGGTGGTGGATCAGGGGGCGGATTTAGCGTAGGCTCAGTAGACGGCGGTCACTCCTCAGGCTCGTTGCAAGGTGGCGGGCAAGGCGGTGGTTTCGCTGGAGCGACGGCGGCGGCGGGTGGCGGGCACGTTCACGGCGGCACTGGCTTCGTGTCGGTTGGCGGGACCGCTGTCGTCGGGCGCTAAATTTTCTTTTAAATTTTTCCTTAAATTTTATTTTCTCTCGCCATAGTAACAGGAAGTCATTAATTCGGTTTTTTCTGTCGCCATCGAATGAATCTTTTTAATTTCTCTCGTGTAGCTTCCATTTTCTTCAAATTGTCCATCGTTTGCTGCGTTGAAAATTATACTAAATTCTCATGTGTTGTGTATTTTATTTTCATTATATGGGGGGTTTTACTCTTTTGTCTCAAGGGAGGGTGAACATCAACGAAGCCATGACATTTTTTGGATGGACAATTGTTCATATCTACTTTCACACAATTGACCGCGTTGAAAATTGACTCGATGCGTCGCAGTGGCCATAAAATCGTTTGGTTTGACGAAACAAAGCAAGTTGTGACTGTTAACAAATGATTAGAATACATTTTGAAAACTCTAATAATTTTTTTTATCCACCACTCACAACTCAAATTCAAGTTACGATCGAGATGGTTACTTGCAATAACTTTCCTAAAACGAGTCCCGCATTTCGCACCCAAAAATTAAAGTCCCCGTCAATATTAGAGGGGTGCCACGTCGGGTCACAGCATATAAAGCTCTCCTTTACATTGTGGACCGTGTGATACTGACTATAATATAACTGTTAGAAAAATTACCGTTAACGGTATAACCAGCCTTTCAGTGTCCGGTCGGCACGTGCAAAGAAACACCATGTCGCCATTTTCATTCTAATTTAACACTAGAAATCCGTAAAATATCTGATGAAAGCGGAGAAACAGTTTATATTCACGTACGGGGCGATCGGCCACTAGAACGCCAGTGGGACCGTTTTTCACCGTTTTTCTAATAGTGTAACTGAAGTATTTTATCGTCAACACAATATCGTCAAATTTCTTACATCCTGTTCAGTGCAAACTTCGCGCCAGGACGCGGTTACATCAAATAGGCTTTTAAAGACAAATTAAATGGACACTGAACACTAGTGTGAAGACAAATTCTGGAATTGTTCTCGGATATAAGTATTAAAATCACTTGGCTGCTTAAGTCGCAAATTTACCAGGAATTTAAAAGTAAAGAAAATAATGAATGTGAATTTTAGGCTACTTATTGTTTGTACCTATGTTCTAGGTTTTGAACTGACGATGGAGCTGGACTCCGAAACGTTTTCTCTTATAAGAAATGGTGAACTTTTTGGCTATTTTCTTCACTTTTAAATTCTGGAATTGTTCTCGATATAATCATTAGAAAATATTCCGATTAATGTGCGGGGAATTACGTGACAAAACTCTAAATATGGCTCATTAGAAAGAAATTTTTGAGCATTACTGTATGATTTATGCATAAAAAATCAAGTTTGTCTTGAAAAAAATATGGAAAAAAGACTTGTAATATATATATGAAATATGGAAAAAGATTTGAAAAACTGAAATTATATTGACAAAATTCAGACTCTCGTCCCAATCGTCGTTTTTAGTTTTTTCATCTAATTTAAACGTAAATGTAAATGAGAGTTTGAATAATGAAATCTTGAGGTATTCGACAAGGTAATTTCTCACCGAACTTGATTATTAACTAACGGAATAATTTATAACAGCAATGAAGTGTTTGGGATGCTGGCAGAGTAATACTTCAGGACCACGACCTACACGATATTGACTTGACTTATATTTTATAAGTCTATAAGCAACTGGAATACTGTGATATAAGTCATGTGATACCCCGTGTCGAATTTCAAATCATTATTTGAAATTTTAGGGCTTTCTTGTGTTGATTTAAAGTGATAAATTAAGATCACATTAAATAAATTGGTATTGATAAACTGATTTCTTGGTTAAAAAGTTTTCGTAGAAAAAGAAAAGTTTTCGTAGCTAAATTTATGCCACTGGAAAAGCATGCAGATTTCTTGAGTTGACGTAAGCATTCCATGCAAAAGCTTTAATGCGTCCATTGGTCCATTTACGTGATATGCGTATATAGTGCACAGACGTCGTTCGCAGGCACCAGGGCCTATACTTTCAAAAAAATTAAGAGATCGTAAGTTCATCAGCCAATCATTGACGGCCTTTCGTGCAAAATCCACCAATCATAGACAAGAAAACAGAAAGTAAGTACTTACGTTCACTTAGCGAGTTTTGAAAGTATGGCCCCAGCTAGGGAACGTAAATAGACGAGGAGAAAAACATTTGCTATTCGTTGTTTGGATCAGTACGCATGTTTTCTTGGGGCAGCCTTGGAGGTACGGAAGTGCAAAGCCCATTGGATCTTGGCTGAAGGAAAAGTTCACTTGTGCAACTTAACCCCACTAGGGAGATGCATAGAAAATGGAAGGATGTATGTGAAATTTATTGAGAAAAAATAAAGTTACTACTGAGTCACACATAAATAGACAATATATGAATAGCACGAGCTCTTGTATATTATTCATTATGGATGACGGAAATAAGCTGCATGAATATAATAACAATCAGAATTTAGTAAGAATATATTCTCTTAGTTCAGCAAAAGGCAGAGGAAAAGTATATAATTATTCCAAGTGAAAAATGATTTCAATCACGAAAGTCGTTTGCTATAAGAAATCCATTGAAGACAGACATTACTATAATTATTTGCCGAAGCGCATGTAGTTATACAATAATCGTTTATAAAGATTACTACGTGCAAACTGAGCTTGTCATGAAATGCGTCTCATTATGCCATGTCCAAGAGCTGAGAGACAAAAAAATAAGACAAAATATTGCACACACGAGGGCAGGATCTCGAACAAATAAGAGTATTTCCTGGGAGCTCGTATAAATAGTCCCTTGTATAATACCTCACGTGGAATAATTCAGCATCAGTTTGTTCTATGTTCCTGCTAGTATTATGGATGTAAATTAGGGAGAATAATGATCGTTTTCGAAAAAAGTATGATTTCTCAATTTGCAATTAGAGTCAGGAAACTTAACCGAAAAATAAAAAGGCTTTTCTAAGAGTTACCACGATTAATGAATGATAATCTCAATTAGCTTTCTTTGCACCTAATGACAACCAAACTTGAAATGAATAATTATCATTAAACCGTACAGAAATTTGTTGAAAACATGCGTGAAGTTTAAGCATTTCGTTTGAATTTGAGGACATATCTCAGTTTCTTCAATGAAAATGCGCGATCCCAACGACCTTAGTATGAGATAGATGTTTTAAAGCATTGGTCATTGCTCCTCTTTTCAATTTTAAACCTTTTGAAATAGCCAGGCAGCTCTTGTGAACTTGTGTGTAAACATTTTTAATACATTTAAATACTGGAATATCGTAAATGGAACTGACGTCCGTGCGGGAACTTCTGTCAAGCGTACAGCTTCGTACGACTTCATATCTTACTTCTATTGCTAATTTTCAGAACGGGAATTTGTACTATATAATCTTAGAGTATAGAACATTTTATTGTATCCTATGGCACTTTGCGCGCGTAATATGCTATGTAATTTCGTACACTTAAGAAATGTTAATCCTATAATTATATCACTGGAAGGCCCAACAATAGAAACTAAAACAATGCTCGTAGGCCTGATTACAGTCCTTCATATGACCTGGCTCCAGAGTTTTGTATGGGGCGCGCGGCCCCTTAATATTTCGTATTCTGGTGATGAAGAGTTGCGGCAATCTGCTCCCTTTAGGTGTCGTGCACTCACATCCACGTGATTATGGTCAATTTTAAAAATATTTGAGCATCCAGAGTTCACTTTCGTAGAATAAATTATTGGAAATGATTCAGGATGATTGGATGAAAGACACGTGATTCAGTTTGTTCAACATTATAAGATAATTTTCATCTCTCCCAAATATTAATATTATGAAAATATTAATATAATTTTCATCTCTCCCAAATATTACTCTCCCAAATATTAAAAAGACACTTGAAATTGAAGGAATCGTTTCAGCAAACCAGCAAGTGAATGAAAGTAAAAACAGAAAGTTCTCAAAAGTTGAAAGAACATTTGCCGAATCACTCTTGCATTATACGTATATTGTTGGAAATTGTTACAGAATTTATTTCACTACATTGCTGTACATGATAAATCATTTTATAATAGCAACCGTACGTCATGAACTCTGAAAATTGTCTAGCAAGTCACATAAGTTAGAAAGTTTTTAGTTCTAATTTTTTACATGTCAAGACATCGGACGTATACGGAATTTATTTTGAGTTCTACTCTTAGATTACGCAATGAGCAGCTTTTAGAATAAGAATTAAACTTTAATGGAATCAAGTGACTCAACTCTTGCAGTCATGTCAACACTGTATCATGTACAGTCATGTCAACACTGTATCATGAGCAGTCATGTCAACACAGTATCATGTGCAGTCATGTCAACACAGTATCACTTGCAGTCATGTCAACACTGTATAATGTACAGTCATGTCAACACTGTATCATGTGCAGTCATGTCAACACTGTATCGTGTGCAGTCATGTCAACACTGTATCATGTGCAGTCATGTCAACACTGTATCATGAGCAGTCATGTCAACACTGTATCATGCGCAGTCATGTCAACACTGTTTTCATTATAATGATATCTCTTCTTTCCTATATTTTTCTAATTAATGGTCATCTTTCTTTTTAATCCTGCACTTAAACTTCCGTCTCCTTGGCCAACATAATTTAAATGATCAAAATCACAATAATATTCGAAACCCTCAAGATTGTGACTAACCATGTTGAATCTTCATCTCATTTCTCACTATGCGTCCACTCTTTTTCTCCTTTCATTCATATCTCTGAAGTTTCTCATCTTCAATTTTCATCTCATTTCTCACTATGCGTCCACTCTTTTTCTCCTTTCATTCATATCCCTAAAGTTTCTCATCTTGAATTTTCCGTAGCCCATTCGTTCATCTCTAAAATAAGTTTCTGCAAGTTTGTCGCTCTGACATTTGGCGCTCTGATGGTTGAGCAATCGCGTCGCCTCGGCGGTGACCGCAGACATTCTACTCGCAGCCACTGAAGCCACGCAGTCGCTCCGCGTCACGCTCAGCGCTGTTTTTTTTTTACAACTCAACAACAAGAATGACTTTGAAAATTGCCTGACCTTCTGTTTCGTGTGAAGGACACGAGTGGGAGTGGCAGCGTCGATGCTCGCGCTATTCGACGTTAACATTTAAAAGGTTATGGGTAAAAAAGATGCCTTCAAAGGGTAGCCATCTATATAAGGAGCATAAAGTTTTTGCAGAAAAATGACAAGTGCGGATTTTTTTGCACAGTTGACTGACAAAGATGCATGACAATAGGCAGTCGATATTCTTATGTTTACTGGGAATAAATGTTTTAGTTAGTTTAAACTTTTGGATTATTGAAATGGAAATTAAAAAAATGTGTAATACGCAGCTCAAGTTTTTATCTAAATTGCGAGGTAAATTCTTCCCACCGACGACGAATAAATAAAATTTGAGAATAATCTTAAAGCAAAGCTCTAATTATTGAAATATTGCCGCTTCCAGAAATTTCTGAACTCGAGACGGCGATGAAAGATGCATTTCCACTCGCAAATACAACCTTCAGATTCTATCAGAATAATTTGCTGCATTAAAACTCCGCTCAAAGCATTAATAAACTCTCTTGATCGAATGAAAATTCAGTATATAATTACAGAATTTCGTGATGCAAGTTAAGCATTGCGTCGCTTAGCTTATAATTCGCCCAGCAGGACTAATATCAACTTGAGATTCCATGCAGCACGTGTCCCTGCACGCAACTAAACTTAATATAACTTTCATCTTGGACGACACCTTGAACACCAATCTGCTCTCGATATTTTGCTCTACTTTAAGCTTAACTAAACTCCAACTCGGTTTGCCCGGTACGACCGGGGGGTGGTGTTCATGTCTACCGGGGAAGGTGTTGTTCATGTAACAGCGGTTATATCTACTTGATGAGGTATTATCTACTTGATATCTACTTGATGAAGTATTCTAGATAAGGGAGCTCACCACAGGCCTTATTCTCACAAAGTCGGATCGAAATTAAGTTCTAATATAACCATAACTCCTAACACCATCATTAAAATTACTCAGAAGAAATTGGCTTCGACTGGTGATCTCCGGTCTTGGTTTCATTTATTGTCGCAATCAATGTTTTAGTTTTCCTGGAGGCAATTCAATGGGGATCGAAATTGGGATACGTAACTGCGAATGTTGATGCCATTACCGGCAGAGGGCGATCATTTACTCCTACGTTTAAGTTCGATCAGATCGGCTCTCACACGATACTTCAACTTCCTATCTCTCATACCTATGTTATTATCAATTGTTCACTACAGAAACTTATTATATCGAGTAGTAAATTTGATAGAATTTCTTATTTAAAGAACGAATATTATGTTAAACATTGCCTATCGGATTCTCCTTTGCCAAATGTTCTTTGCCCAGCCACATCTGATTTGAGGGGGTAGGCTAGAGCGTGCTGCTGTAGTCAGGATGGCCCAAAGACCTCAGCTTGAATTAAATCCTAAGGAAATATTATCAGATTGAGCATCACTTCCCTAACAAATTTAAGATGCAGGCCCGGCTTTGCCTAGGACTCGGGAGCACGCAAAGCAGCCGCACTATGTCCGCCTCGACTGTGGGTTTGGAGGTAGCTTCTTGACAGCTTCGGTGTGACTCGATCGGCTCGACCAACTCTAGTCTACTGGGTAACTGTAAACCCGGCAAAAAGATTCCGATCAGAGCTGATCTCGATCGGGTAGCCAAGAAGACCCAGAATAATTTTAAGACGTGTGTAGCGACTTCTGGGCAGAAGCCTATAGACGATGTCACTCGATAGAGGAACTTTGGGTCTGTGACGTACGTTTGTTATAATAGATTCATTTATCACGTGAAATTGCACGAGTTTGAAACATTGCGCTGACCACACCCGCTGCAGCCTATAACCTCTCTGCCGTGACCTCTTCCTAGGAACTCTCTTAGTGCCTTTTTCAGCACCTTTCTCTCAAACAGATAAAATAATGACCAATTAAAACAAACCATCCAAATATAGCATCAAATTTTACCAACTCCTGTTTCAATGTTCTCTACTATTTTAGAAAAATGTTCATTAAAATTTTATTATTCACTGGCTTAATTTCGTTATTATAGTTGTCAATTTCATAAAATTAATTTGAAGAGACCATCTGTTTTAAAACGACTCGAGATATTTTTTTTCTGCCTTGATTTTTTTCTTAGTGGAACTTCATTATCTGATCAATTATAGGACAAAGGCTCCTGATGGGCTAGATGATAAATTACTGATTGTGGATGAATTGTTCTTTCTTTTGATATACCATAATGGAATTACTACTAACAATACTTTTTGGAAACGCCCTACGAAACTCAGAAGCTGCTGGCCGAGTGTGGAGAAGTGATATGAGAAATGCCACCTCAAAGTTGCGAGGCGTGAATCTAAGTCAAGTTCAAGAGATCCCTATTGTCAACCTCAGCAAATTATATTCGCTTGCTGGTTATCATTAAGTTTCTAAAGCTTATATAGTATCCAATTTTACGCGCTTTTGTCTCATAATCCTCGAAAGAACATAACTCAGTACTCACTGCAGTGAGTGACAGAGAGAGCGCATTTTCTCGTCGACGAAAACGTGGCCACGGACGGACAGACAGGCAGACATACGGACAGACTGGCAGACATGACGAGCACAATAGCGTTTTTTTCCACAAATGAGAAAATGCGCTAAAAATGGATACGTGCATATATGTTTAGCACATAGCGCGTCGTTTGTACGGAGTGATTCACAAAAACTTTCTGTTTTATATATCGCGCCAAATAGCCAAATGTAGTAGGAAAAGAGCGAAAGGTATTTCATAAGAGAGGCAAAATTATGAACTTTTGTGTCACGCTTAGTCAGTTGCCACTATGCATTGGACAAGGAAGCAGCGTGCGTTTGCTATTGAGGCATACTTTTTCTAAAGGCCGTTCCATTATCGCTATTCAACAAGCATTCCGCGCGTAGTAACGGTGACTGCAGCTCGGTAGTACGTGTCGTGCCGAAATCGCGAAATTGCCGATTCTATGGAATCGGCAGCCAGTTTACCGAATGTGTAGAATCAGCTTTTCGTTGCTGATTCAGAAAATCGGACGTTAGAGATAGAACACAAATCGACAGTTAGATTTAGAAATGGTTATAGGTCAAGTTCAGTCAAGTTCCTTTATATTTAAATATTAAAAAAACTTCGTTGACTGGCCTAACCCCAGATTCCTATAGTATAGAAATACTGATTCTACACATTCGGCAAACTGGCTGATAATTCCATAGAATCGGCAATTCCGCGATTTCGGCCCGACATACGCAAACGATTGGTGTTTTTTTATCTCAAAGCTGGCAGAAATAAATGTCTGGGATGCCTGGTTCCGACAGGATGGGCCCACGGCCCTCACAGCGCGATGTTCAATGGATCTTATGAGACAACATTTTGCAGTGACTATATATCTCCTCGAAAGGTGACCTTCTTTCGCCGGCAAGATTCCCAGATTTGGCTCCATGTGATTTTTTAAGGGGTTAACTTAAATAAATTGTTTACAATGACTGTCCAAGGACCCTCCCTCATTTGACGTACAGCATATGCCAATTAAGCCATCGCCCACATACTCGTCTATGAGCTTCTGAGATTTCAACGGAACCTCAAAAATCGACTAACTGAATGCATTGACTATGGGAGCCGGCATTTGTCCTATATCATCTTTAAAACCAAATGATACAAAACTGCAAGTGATGTAGTTTCTAATAAAATTAATATTATAATGTTATCTTTACCGGTCCTTTTTTTATTGAGCTTTCAAATCAGGAAGTTTTCGCGAATCACCCTGTATAATGCCCGGGCGAACCAACCCACCAAGTATAGCTCTGTCAAAACATCAAAAATCATTTTCAGCTAAGGGAGGATTTTGTTAAGTGGCTACACAACTTAATCACTCGTGACAAATTTATTAAATTGATCTCTTAAAGACATCACTCATGTTATATAAAAGTTTAGCCTAAATAAAGCACGAAATATCATTGACAGAAAACCACCACGAATTTTCTAATTTGTTGGGAGTCTCCATTTAAATTGTAACATGTGTACGAGATGGCAATATTATTGATCATCAGTCAGCATCACATTGCCAATATGCCAAAAGTGTTTGTTTGGCACAAAATCAAATTATTTTTGTTTAACTTTTTATAAGCCCCAGAAAGTAAATAAATGTCTTTTTCACAGTCGGTTTCGACTGATTAAAATTCACTATTATACAAACTTGCAGCTTCCAACGATGGCCGGATTTGATTATCTTTGAAGAAACTGATACTGATTGCTCACTTCCATCTCTGTTATAGGTCATTTTTATCGATATTGCAAGTACCTAGCTCATTTTAGAACAAATAAGTGCTTGTGGGTTTATGGTTAATTTTCATCAGTCTTATTATTTCGACCAGTGAAAGTCAGTGCAGAAAGTCAAGTTGATTAAAAAATATAACTATTTTGCAAGCTTAATCAATATACACAGTGCGTACTTATCAATAACATTAAATTAATCAGTGGACTGCGCGAATGCCCATGAATATTTCATCGTAAAAAGCAGTCGTAGCGTTGTAGTCGGACCGTAGGGCAATCGACATTGCAAATGACGTCTGGACAATACTTAACAGCGGAAATTTTTTCCGACATTTTCACTGTAATACGTAGCATAATAAATGGTGTTTTCACTGAAGCAGGTATCGTACTGAAGGGTATTTACTCGTGCTTTCCTGGCACGATTTATTTTCCGACTGCAAGTCCAACTTGGTGTTGTCTTCCTGCGAACGACCGGACAAACATTGTGAGAACGTTTGACATCATACATACAAACTTTGACATTATATATGATATAATTAATCTAAACTATGGCATATCATAAATTCACCACTAATTACACGGTCCTATATGTAATTTGCTATTTACGGTGGACGTGAAAAAACTCTCAAAATTCTCCGTGTTGAACCTAGGTTTGTAAAAGTCTTAGTTTAAGATTTAACGTCAAATATGTTGTCAGACATTAAACATTTAATTGAGCAACATCCGAGTCACTTAGATGACCATAATCACATAAGCCCCACTCGGCACAGATTTATTGATTTGATAAAAAAAAAAGATTGTCCTGGTGCACGCTCTGTCAACCTCCACAACAAACAAAACGGCGAGTACTGTTTTAGACAACAATTACCTGCTGTAACCGCAGCCGGCGCAGCTTGACGGACAGACAGCAGGACACAACCACCCCCGCCAGGGCGGTGGCAGCCAGCACCCCGCACACCACCAGCGCGCTGGCGCAGCCCTCGGGCGCCAATCGAGGCGAGATGAATAAATCTACGCAGCAACAACATCACTTTTCATAAACAATATATTATAAATAATCTACTGTGTAAAGATCAGCATAGAATGAAATTAACAGGATATTAAACAAAAAATATAATTGGATTTGAATTCAAACCATATCAGTAATTCCATATCTCAATCATTACCAAATATTTTTGAGATTGAATGACAGGAATATGGTGAGTGATGACGGTCAATAAATAAAATTTTTCTTCCAATTGTGAATGTATTGCTTAGTAAATGGTAAAATAATATTACAAACATCACTTTAAAATCTTGTTTTCTTAAATTCATTGTAATTCAGCTTTGCACTCTCAAGAAGGTTACGAGGAACCCTTTATTGCGTTGCCAAATATTTTTAAGGAGGAAGAAAAGTTATCAAATCATGACCACAGTGTCATAATGAATCAGTTGCATAAATTGGTACATGTGAAAATTGGTTGACACCAATTATCACATTTACCCGAATTTCTCCATTCTGATACATTTACCTAATTTTCTCCTCACCATCAGGCATGATGACCGTCACACCGACGTGGTCGGCATAGCTAGTAACGTTGGGGCCAAGTTGTTTTATTGTGGTATAACTGCGATACGAAGACCTGTGTTGTTGCTCTGGCAGGCTCACGTTTTCGCTCTGCAACACGAGTTCAGAATTCAATTTCAGTTATTTTCGCTCTGCAACACGAGTTCAGAATTCAATTTCAGGTTGAGGTAAAAACTTTGCATATTTCCACGCATGCAAATTTCAGCCTGTTTGCGTTTACATTTTTAGACGTAACAAATTTTTTATGAGATATAGGGGCATTTACGTTATGACGCTCCATAATAATATTCAATGATTTCAATTCAAATGGATTTGTGCAAGGTCGATAATATTTTTTAATTGAATTCATGAATTCAATCAAATAAAACGCGCGTGTGGACTTTATTTCCCTATCTTATTAAATAAATTTCCAACAGTATTTACATTGCAGTTAGGTTCTCCAAAATGGAAAGATATTAAGCGTACCTGAATTCTATAATATATTTTAAAAATATTAATAATAACTCAAAAATTAAGAAATTTCAAAAACAGTTTTGATTAATGTCCATTATTACTTCACACCCTTATCCACTTTTATCACGAACAAAATTCAAGGGGTTAATGTTATGAATTCTGTGAAACGTATTTTATTTTCCGCGAAAAGGTATTTCATCAAGGCTGTCATTCAGACCTGTTGTAGAAACTCTCGGTTTCTGGCAGTTCTTGTGCTACCAGGAGTCTGCAGTGGTCGGGTCTGCCGAAGTTGGGTCTGCGGAGCTCGAGTCTTCGGAGGTTGGGTCTGCGGAGGTTGGGTCTGCGGAGCTCGGGTCTGCGGTGGTTGGGTCTGCGGAGGATATCGACGCCTGTTCATCACATGGGCCAGCGAGACCGAAGGTTCGTCGGCGACCTCCAGCAACACCGCAGGATTTCCTCCTGCGAAACTTCGACGTTTTCTGCCGTGTCCAGCTGGCTGGAAGAGGTCTAGGCAAAATTCCTGCGTGGCAAAACAAATATAGTTAAAATACAAAAGGACTTCGGGAATCAGCCCAATTTAAAGATAATTTGAGTCCACTAATAATCACGACCATAAACTTCCTGGGAATCTATAGCATATAAAACATAATAGCTGATCTAATATGCCACCATCCGCTTCTGTTCGCTCAACTCCAGTTGAACAAAATTATTTGGATACTTGTTTATAACTCCGAGATTCGTTTAAAGATATATCGATGGGAAGTATCAAGAAAATACGACCCATTTGTCAAATAAAGACTCTAACCGGCAAGCAGTCTTCAGCTTCAATGCAGGCTTTAATTGTGGCATGGATCCAAAGTTTAGACGAGCCCGCAAGCTTCGAGTCCAGCATGAACGCCTCGAAGTCGAGCAGCACTTCACCGTGGTGATCGTCTGGTCTCCTGGGTTGGTGAGGTACTATGCTGGTCACTTCAGGACGGCGACATCTGTAGGAAATAAATATAATTAATGTCAATTTTTGCTCAATCATAGGTATAAAATAGGTTAATTGGAGCCCTAAGGTTGAAGATTTCTATGGCAGCTTTTGCATACATTTTCAATAAGACTTCGATGTGTGCCAATTTGTTCGGGTATGCTCATTGCCGAATTTAATTTAAATTTGATTTCAAACGGGTTCTTTAAAGAGTACTCACAATAATAGCTCTTTGTAGTTTAGCTAGTTAATTGTTTAATTACAAAAATTTATCTATACATAATGATTTGGTTCCTAAAAAGAGTTGTTAAATAAATTATCATAAATTTCAACTTCAAAAAATTGATATTACATATCAATTACCTGAATTACTTATGCAAACTTGGTACTTATGCAAACTTTGTACTTATGCAAACTTGGTACTTAATGCAAACTTTGTACTTATGCAAACTTTGTACTTATGCAAACTTAGTTTGTGCTCACCCGTCCCTGACGAGCTCGACGTGTCCTGGAGAGAAGGAGTCGTCTTGGTCAGCCGAGACCGTCACACCGATCAACTTCGCATATTTCCAGGCTGCAGAAAAATTATGAAATGCATTCGAAGGAAAACTGTATAAACGAATTCACTCTTATCAAATTCCCACGTTAACATACTGGGCGTAAGATTTAATTTTAAAGTACCCGTTAAGCGAAATTGTAACTTATTTCTGCGACAGTCCGCACTGAGGAAAATAATCTCACACTTGTGTTGTGTTGAACAGTGACGAAATAATAACAGATCAAATCTCTTCATTTTAACTTATTCTATAAGCCAATATGATATTCATTTTATTTGCTCATACATCTGAATACATCCGGGAAATGTCAAAATTTGTTTGTGGTCGTTTGTGTTTGCGTGGAATGTTGAAGACTGGGACCTGTAATGAAGTGTTGCTGCAAATTTCCCACTACTGTATGTCAGACTATGAAGTTTAAGTAGGACCGATTCTGACGTCAGTGTTAAGTTCAGTATAGCCGTCAGATACTATGCCGATCCCGACTTGCGTCCTGGTTCCTCTCTTATAGGATTTTGACTCAGACGCCAGGGTGAGTACCGTCACACCGATCAACTTCGCATATTTCCAGGCTGCATAAAAGTTATGAAATGCATTCGGAGATGAATAATAGAAACTAATTCCCTCATTTCAAATTACCATGTTAATCTACTGGGCGTAAGATTTAATTTTAAGTATTCGGTCGGTGAAATTGTAACTTATTTCTACGACAGTCGGCACTAATAAAAATAATATCATACTCGTATTGCTTCGAATTACAGCATTTTAACTTATTTATGTGTCAATACGATATGTATTTTATTTGGTTATTCGTCTGAATATATCCGATAAATGTCAAAATTTCTTTGCTGACGTGTGTGTTAGTGCGGAAGTTTGAAACCTATCACCAAATATACACAAGGGCTGTTCGGCCGCCATCCATGAGAAGCACCCTATCATTTCGAAAAATTATTCGGACCTTAAAATTTTTTTCCTATTAAGGAAAAATTATGGGAGAATATGAGCATTGCAAATTAAAATTAGATTTTTACATTGTATTTATTATTATTTTATTTACAAGACAATGAATATGTTTTTGTATTTTGAGACGTGAGACTGTTCTTCTTCTAATGAGACTTCTATATGTTTTATAGAAAGCGTGGTTTTGAACACTTTTCTTTTCAGTCATCACAGACTATATAGCTTTATTATCACTAACATTATTCGATAACGGGATTATCAAAATGACCAATCGATTCCGCTGATTTTTACGTTAACCTAGTGACGCAAATAAATAACAGTGAGCTACTCTCTGCCCACCAGAATTGGTATTGATCCTTGTCCTGAGCTGTAGGCGCGAGCCTATAGGCACCGCCTGGTCAGCGAGAGGCCGGTCGTCCGCTGTTCCTGTGCGAGCGTTCGACTCCCTGAAGAGGGCGACCTCGTACTCCAGCCGCCCTGGCGACTCCTCCACTACGCCCGATACGCGGCCCTTTGATGGCCTTCGAAGTGCGATGAAATTTTAATTTATAATTAAATGCAATTAATTGATATAATTCTATGAAATGATTAATGTTTCAGACCAATCGGAAAAAAATATTAGAGGATTTGTCATGGTCTATTCACTAGAAGTGCAATAATGGCCTTTTAGTTACTAGAGGAAGGATTTTTACGCTCCCGATTCATTTACCATAAATCATAGTTTAGAGGTTAAATATTGTTATATAGATTCCAGTATTCCAGACAAACATATGACTTTACTCAATAAATTAGAAGAAATTTGAATTTGCATGAGCTGTAACAAACGCTCATAGTGACGCTTCATTCGATTTGTAGCCGCAAAATGGAATTATTTTTGAATGATATGGTGATTAATTCATCAGCCTCCATACTTTTCATCAGAACTTAAATTTGCGATCAGACTTATGAACTTCAACTGAAAAATTCATTATGAAAGTATTTTAAGATAATCGAGATACAATAATATAAACTGAAGTACTCTGAAATCCGCAATGAAAAGATAAATTGGAACTTACAGTGATCCTGCGAATCCCGCAGCACGGTTCTGGATGATGGTTGGTGGTGCTGGCTGGCACATGATCACCACCTCCTGGTCTGTGGCCATCACCACACCGTCCAGCTGAGGGAACCAAACCCTCACCGTCACGTAGCTCTGCTCAATGAGGTATCAATAGAGCACGAATACTTTGATCCATTTTATACTTTGATCCAAAGCACACGAATACTTTGATCCATTTTATACTTTGATCCAAAGCACACGAATACTTTGATCCAAAAATTCTTACACCTTATTGTTATTTTTGTTGTGTGCGACGCAAATATTTCATCACGGTATGGCTATAATATTAAAATGATATTGTGTCTCACATCTTTTGTGATGGCACCGCAGCGTCGGAAGTCCTTGATCAGCAAGTTATAGATGAGGCCGCTTGGCTCCAGAGGGTCGGGTCTGATCTGGCAGTCAGGGTGTCTGGTGGACGAAAGAGACATTAGCAGATCCTAATTACATGATAAAAAAGATATGTTACAAGGACTTCAACCATTCACAGCAATATTCACTACTTCACTACTTGATAGTTGTTTCATAAATTGAAATGACAGCAACGACGTCACTGATTTGTTGCTCGGTAAAGTTTATGAGAATCAGTTACTGTAAACTTCTATCGCAAACCAGAAAAAATATATATCGTATTTCAATGTGAAGACCCTTTAGATAAACTAGTAGTTTTACGAATTCAACTTTAAATCTGAAAATAAACTAGAAAATGCAATCAGTATTAATTTTATATTGAAGTAGAAATTATGATGAACAAGCGACTCACACGAACGGGTTAATAAGTCTGTCATCTGCGAACAGCGGATGTCCGCGAAAATCCGGGGGCTTGCGGAGCCGCGCCGCCAGCCGCTCGGTGGCTACCGCGTCGATGTTGTTGCTGACGTCATCGCGGAAACGACAGCTGATGTCCGCGACTGGTAGTTATATTATAGAAATCAAATGCAAATAAATTATGGAGTATTAATACATAAAAGTTAAAACATATATTTTTCTATAGATGATTCACACCTGATGGTTTTCCAAGTTTTCCTCTAATAATTATTATCATTGTTCTCATTTCCTGTTGTCTTATATGTGAATAGCTACAGTGTTTAGGATTGCAAAAAATGTCGTTAGCTTAGGGCTAGTGGGAGAGAATGTACAATTTATTGATGTACAATTGTTTGTCAATTTACAAATTTTATTGCTAGCTAACCAGGTGGATTCGAGGTTTTCAGTGGATTCATCTCGATTGTTTCCAATACGACGCTTCTTATCGTGCAGCATTAAGATGTATTAACGGTTAATGCTCTAAAATTATTCAATGACGTAGATTTCACTGTAATAATTACGTTTACGTCCTCGTAATTACATAATTTAGTATGGTGGTTTATGAGACGTACACGTGCACTGAATAATTATAGCTGAACCCTAATGACATGGTCATTAATCCTATGAATATTCTTAATTGCAGAGAGTAGAATTGGCCGTTAAAGTTTTAATCGAGGTAAAAATGCTCTCAAATTTTCCCATATCATTTTGCTTTGTCTGACTGATTAGAGGGAAAATTTAAAGCATGCTGTAACGGTAAAACATTAAATGATCGAAGGTTGTACTGAAACTATAACTTGTGACAAATAATTATGCAACTAACGCGCTACTATCAGTCGAGTTCAATGGGAGACTGTGCAGGTAAGTTTGAGATTACACAACAACACATTGTAAGGGGAACCTAAATCGTAACTGTTTTCATTTTTATAATCGCAATTTAGTATAAAAGAAATATTGAAACACTGATGAGCAGGATTAAGATTGCTGCTTTTTCAGGGCTGACTTAAAAATTAATATTGAAGAAAACTTAAAAAATGAGTATCATTCCCCTTACCTTGATAATCTTGCGAGGCAACTCCGTGCATCTGTAATTTATAGAAATTATTTATTAGTTCTTAAATACATATGATCGAGGAATGTGTGTTGCACGAGATCGACGTAATAATTGACCGACCAACTTTTAGATATTTTCTTTTACGAATTTCCCACGTGTTCGTAAAATTCGGGGAGGAGGAAATAATTGCTTTTAACTTTTCTGACAATATTTATTAGGAGACAATAAATGATTCATCATTTGAGAGTGAATACATTATATCAAATTATGACTCAATTTTGTGGTATCAATTTGAAGAGTCTCTTCAATCTACGGTGTAATTCTGTTACAGTTTATAAGCAAGAAAAAAGTTACCTCATGTCCTAAAGTCGCGGGAGAAAGGCAGGAAGCGAATAAATTAGTCGATTGCCCTTCGTTGGCGCACAAAGACGCTCATGCAAGGAAACGCCTTCTACCATTGATCGTTGATGACTATTTGAGATCTTAAGAAACTACAGATGCTAAATAACTGACACATATGGAATACTGGGAAAGTATATTCAAAATTCTAACAGATATTTGAGTGAAGATCATATGGGTGTTGGAGGAAAAAAATTTCACAAAAATTATTTGTCATTTCTTACAGTGCAGAATTATCAATTTTTGAAAAGAAGAAATATTTCTATATATTTGCGCACCGAAAATGTTAATTTTTTGCGATTACTATATAATATACGCTTATGAGCTAAATTTAAAATTTTACTGGCGATACCAAATGAGTCCAGTGCAAAAGTTTGCAATTTGAAAAATTCCTTGTTTATACACAATAGTTAAAAAAATTAAGGAGGTCACAAAATAAACATTCATAATAAGATGAAGCAAACTTTGTAATTGTTCATTTTTACACTTATGACTAGAAGCAAATGAGAATAAATCTTACCACAACGAACAAAATGAAAACGATCCGAGCTCTGGTCGATCCGAACTCATCTGAGGGTCGACATTTCCGTTTATGAATTCCTCCTGACCACATGTCCAAGTTCTTCGGGGATTGGAGACGACGATATTCAAATTAAACTTTCGACTATTCACAATCAGGCTTATATAGAATACTGCGTATAGGCTATAAACCCTCACTATGACGAGACTTCAATTGATACAGTCGATATTCTTTTTTTTTATTTCACAGTAAAAGTTTGACAAAGCAATTTTTGTCTTGAAATACAAAACCAGACGTAATGTTTTTAAAAATGAGACACAACTTGAACTTTTATATATTTCTAGGGATTTAATTTCTTCCTATTTATTGCATTGAGTTCTCAGAGATTTAATGATACAAACGCCAATAAAGCGCAAACCTTCATGAGTCAGTCAATAACTTCCGAATGTTCACCAATGAAATCAAAATTATAGAAAATTAAATATTATTCTTGGGAGCAAATTATTTAGCTTTTAATTGCGAAATAGCGCGACACTCGCTGCGAAGGAACGGAAACAACGGCTGCGGCAAAAGCCTTAGAGTCAACTGAGAGCTGTCGAGCAAAGCTGCCATCACAATCGCGACTTAAGTGTCAACTTAATGTTGAAGTCACGTCATTGCAAAGGGCGGTTCTCCTCGTGTATTGTACGGTTCAGATGGTTCAGATTGCGAGGTTTGCACGAGATTTGCGTGCAATACCGCGCCTTTCTGTCTGTTGTACCGCACACTTCCCGTGACAGAATGAGAACACGGAGACGGGAGGTTCAATGTGTACTCTTCCGCGACGACTTACGCACGAGAACTGCTACGGATATGCAGACTAGATTTCCCGGTTGAGTTTCTGGAATTACTTTCTAAAGGGTAAAATAATAAATGTTGATATCGAAAAAGGAATTGTTAGACTATCAAATTATTACTCACACTAGCTGTCAGTTAGTTGTAAGAAAACTTTATTAATATTAACTGCAAAGTATTGTAAATGTATGTATGTATCGTCAAGCTTGATGTAAGTTAAATACAGTTATAGTTCAGAGATTTATTTTAAATACTGTATTGATTTGGCACTGATGTTGCAATATCTACATGATTTCCCTCGACTGGCCAACTTACTGACGCTAATTAGAATGTTTTCTAGAATTGTTTGTAAAACTGAAGAAATAAACGCAGGCTATCGAACAAATGGGAAAACCGTATCAGTGTTACCTGTTATTTGCTTCACGTAAATTCTCCAATGATTTACATAGATGATTTCCTTTGCACTATTCCTTAGCTAGAGGATTGAATCAATAACGCATCCCATCTGAAAAAGGACGAAGGCCACTGTTAACGCTATTTATCTTCATAGTTAAAGGCTCTGGATCGACGCCGTGGCTTTTAATGCTAATAATGCAGTAGAACAGAAAACTTATTTGTAGCTGCTTAATGTCCATTTCTAAAAAAATTCATATTCATAAGACAACAGCTTGAATTACGGCTACATTAAGTAATAAATTATTCACCAGGAATGGTTCACTGGCGACGTCATCCATTGAATACACAGAGACTATTCATTCCTACAAGTAGACATGAAGGAGGCTACTTGCATCCAGTAAATGGAAGACGAATTCATTGTGAAGCATTTTTATTCAACATTGTACTGTCATCGTCGACATGATATGTCATCACAAGACGCCACTCATCATTGTGAGCGTCATCACAGTCAAGGATCGCTGGCATCAGAGGCGCCAGCCGTGCTCCAGTAACACGGCAGTTACGCTGCGTAAGTTTCATCCTACGCGCAATTAACACCTACGCATAATTACCATCTGTTTCTTTAAGGAGATTAGGTCAAGATACTGTTCGGCGTTCGCCTCAATCTCAGATTCGCTGACTTGCGAAATTTTAACGGGTGTCCCTGTTGTATGCATAGCAACAGAAGTGGGATGGTTTCAGTAGAAAGTTACCGAAAACGAAAAGTAGTTTCTGTTATTAAATAATATGCTCCTTGATTTTTGTCGTCATCATGACAATAATTAGCGCGTTCAGATTTAACGGCTGAACGAAGTCAGTAACTGGAGAATTACACAGTTTTAATTAATTGAGAATTACACAATTTTTTTTCACCTAGCCAGTATGAACGCGATATGTGGCATCATGAAAATAATTCGCGCATTCATATTTAACGGCTGAACGAAGTAAATAACTGAAAAATTACACAATTTGTTTTAATTAATTAAGAATTACACAATTTTTTCACCTAGCCAGTATGAATGCGATATGATCTTAACTTATTTATACATGCACACTCTGAAAACGTAACAATATGCCGCATACTCTTTTCCTTCAATTTCATTCCAACTAGATGAGTTGAAGCTAAAGTTTGCATCAATCATATAATACATCCGCCTATTACCTTCGGCTCATTTATATTAAATACAAGTCACAAAAGTGAAACGGGAAAATTAGAGTGATAACAAATTTTTTTTGGTTTTGTCAGAGCGTGCTGGTACGTTATAATTGGAACAAAATAATATGCATAACAATGTTATAGCGTATCTTCTGATTCAACGTATTTTCAATTATGGCCTATGTAGCAGAACACAATTCTTCAAAAAAGGTTATTTTTACTATTTTAATTTTCATTGATTTCATTACTGAGGACACTGTTAAAAATCTCTAAAAAATCTCAGTAACAAGATTGAGCGTAGATTATAATGCATACTAAAGATAAGCGCGCGATATGCGTCAGTCTTTAGGTAGAGCTGAGTCACTCTTCCCTCTGACATATGAGCGGCTGGTTTTATTCGCCCCTAATACTCTGTCCAAAAGTGAAGTTTTGCATCGTTTCCGACAGCTCTGAACTTCTCTGTAGAGGTCGTGGAATGCAGAGGCTACTTGCAAGACTTGGTCCGAAGCCGCGACCTCGCAGAACTGGCACTCCATATCCTTCGCTAATATTTCCCCTGTAACGTTATCAGCTATATGAGACTATGTTATCAATGGGATCATTAACAATCATGATAAGCAAGTGTAAAAATTCAAAGAATATAAACACTATAGGAAAAGCAAAACGCTTTTAGTCGGAATATGAATAAACAAATTTCAAATTTAGTGCTGAAAGGCTATTTCGAATAAAGAGCTTTCTTCCTTAAACATATTTATTTCATAAAGGGCATTGCTTTAATTTCGTGAGTTTTCAGATTTGGACAAAGTTGTCCAAGCTTAGTTATTATTATTAGGAAATATTGTTAAATATTCAAGCATTCAAATTAACATAATATCCTCCCAAAAAAATTACATCCCGATATCATAGAAAATGAATATTTTCAGAGTTTTCAAGCTTTAGATTTATACCAAGATACCAACTATAGATAGATAAATAGATATCAACTATATCATAGAAAGTGTACATACCTTCTTCAGAAGAGACTTGTCTGAGGTGGACCATGTCAGCCTTGTTGCCGAGCAGTAGAGTTGGGGGACTGGTGGACGGCGACACATCCAAGGGCGGTGGACTGGGCGACAAGGAGGGTGAAGAGCTTCCTGATAGTCTCAGTGGCCATGTGCCTTGCTCGGTGAAGTGCAGACGGCATCTCTTCACCCAATCAAAAGATTGGCGGTCTGTGATGGAGTACACGAGCAGCAGGCCGTCTGCCCATGACAATATTTCTGCTCCGGGTAAGTCATCGTCGTTCTGCAGTTGAAAGTTAACGAGAAATATTAATATATAAGAACAGGGGAGCTTGGAGAAATAATTTTTATTTAGAGATGGAATTTATAAACATTTTTTACTTAGCTGTGCAGTGTGCAAGTGATGTCAGGTTAACTAGAAAAAAATCGTCTAGCTTTTTTACTTCGGAAAGGCAATTATATACAAAAGATTTGACATTTCATTTGTTTGAATTATTAACATTTATAATTAGATTATTATAAGCATTTTATGGATTGCGAAAGGCTAAGTGATTGACGGTGTATACAGAAATCCCAAGCTGATATCGATGTCCCGACACCTCGCGTCGCATCAACGCTCAGCAAGGCCGCATAGCTGACACTTTGCCAAGAGGGAAAATCTCATCCTATCTAGCGTTCTCGGCCATAACAATTGGCATTAACAAGCCCTTCAAAGGCTGGTGTCTCGGACATGACAGTCCCACTCATCACATCTACTCGCCTTTACTTTTTCATCTCCCGTCGATTCATCAACGTCAGACTCGACGGTTTTTCAGAATCCATCACTTCACAGTTTCCGGCACGTGACCACGAAAACTGACACTCAAAGAAACTTTTTCTTGCAGCAAAAGCTGTTATTGATTCAGTGATTAAAATGATTGAATAGCAATACTATGTAGAATAAAGAAAGGAGGCCTAATAATAACGTTATAATTAAAGCGTGTTATGCAATGATACATGTGCAGCAGATTCGTGACGACGTACAGCAAGAAAATTGCGCTACATGGACTTTTGAATTTTGTACGCCCATTGCAAATACATCTTCTTTCGGCAAGGTTTGCGTGAATGAAGTGACATAGTAAACTACATTGATCACTTTTCTTTAGGGATATTCCTCGAGCTTCTAAATTCTAGTCTACTCCTATCGTATAAAACCATCATGTTCTCGAGAAAAAGCTGATGAACTGACAATGTGATCGCCAATTGCCAAAAATAAAACTAACTAAATAAATAGTTGTAAAAAATGATAGTAAAATTAAAATTGAAATAAACTGAACAAACGTTCATTATCAGTGGCATTTTAATTGAAATTTACAGTCAAGATTTATATACGATTTTCTTCATGTCCACCCACTTTTGCATATAAGTCACGGCAGCGGCAGCAGGGACCTCCATGTATGCAACTCATCGTCATGAATCACTCAGCAGCGTGCGTCGGCTGCATACATTCACGCAATATAAGCGGGTTGTTTGCTACCGCTGCGCCATAAAGTAGGACTCGCGTGACACGAGCGCCGATGCTCGGGCCGAAATTGTTCATGAACTAGAATAATTTCCTCCTGAGACGATGATTCATTGGGACATCGTTACGAATTGCATGAACACAGCATTTGAAGTCTTTCATAATTGACAGAAATAAAATGGAGCTGCCATTTGTCGCGGAATAAACGGCGGATGCTGCATTTAGGGATCGAGTTTATCTCGGTCACAAAGCATGACAAGCAGCAATAGACTCTGAGTTAGTAAAGACGTGTCGTTGCAGTGCTTTAAAAATGATTACTTAGTTTAAGATGTTTAGTTTTTCGAAAGGCTCATTTGCAACAAAATGGGCAAATTTCAAGCTTCTCAATAATTCATTGAATCTTTGTGAGCGGATAAACATTGCACAAATATTTAACAAAATTTTCAACATTCATTCTGCAAAGTCTTCGTGCAAAGTCAGCGAAAAAATTAAATGTTCCTAGATCCCTGAAAAATCTTCTCACAAGGTCAAGCAATTTTGAATCGTTCCTGCCGATATTTAACTATATTAAAATCAAAAATTCTAAATATAATTCTCAAATCATGGTCTGACAGTCGTTAAGATTCCCTAGGTAAGTGGTTTGCATATCAGAGCTTGATCGTTGACGTCGAATATTTTTTACTACCTTCAGCGGAGAAGCTGGTGATGTCAAAAGGTCTGTCGCTCAACATCTGTACGGAGTTAAATCATCGTAAAATAAAGTCATGTTTGTTTCCCTTTGAATGTCACTGTCAGGAATGAAATATGTCTTAAGCGCGCAAGCTAGGCTCACAAACGTAAAACATACACTATAAATAATCAAATTGTTAAAGTGGAACGAAAAATAATTGAAATGAACAATTATTTAATTTGTTTCATAATAATTTTTCAATTTGCAGAATGGCTTATGCTTTTAAGCGGGATTAAATACATTCAAGATTATTTCAATCTTTACAGATTTCAAGGGATACTACATAGATATTCGTTTACGTCTCACACAACGCTTCAAGTCACACAGAAGTGAAGGCAGTTTATTATTCATGACGCCTTAATTTAAACAGAGACGTCAGAAGCTGCCGCCAGCCTTACAACTGCCCCCGGCCTTGACTTTCACGCAGGCTAGAGCGCGTGTATTTTAGCCCGAGTCTCGCTAATGATCAAGTCAAAACGTCCGTAAATGGCTCAGCCTCGGCTATATTCAGCTAATGGCAGTTTGACTGCGGTGGTCGACAGATAGATGGCCACACAGACTCAGAATAAATTCGTGTTTCGAAATAATCCCGTTAGTTTTCTCCTGTACCGTTTATTTTAATCAGACATATACAATTTTAATTTCGTAGTCACGACGCTTCTGATGATTTTTTCAGTTGAAGTGTCTTATATTCGAAATAATCCCGTTGGTTTTCTCCTGCACCGTTTATTTTAACCAGATTGATAGCATTTTTATTTTGTAGTAACGACGCTCATGATGATTCCCTCACTTGAAATGTCTTATAAACAATCAACGTTATTCTGATCATTGTAGTTTGTGTATGTTGTTTTTTATAATTTGTTTTAATGCACCTGGCATTTTGCGCATGATGCTGGTGCACGCGGAGGAATAATATGCACAAATCAAGGAGTATCCATCAAATAAATTAATCATTGAAAAATTACTTCAAGGTTTCAGGCATGTAGACGAACAAAACGGTTTGCTAACAAATTAATATATTTTTTACTGGATAATACGTACTGGCAACAGCGAAAGAAAGGTACGTATTTTGTGGACTTCTATTCTCACCTTGTCATTCGTTTGTGTTTTTTATAAAAAAATTATAATTATTATAATTATGTATTATAATTATAATAAATTATAATTTATATAATTTATATTATATATATAAATTATAATTTATTACAAAATAATAATCATTATAATTATAAGCTGTGAAAAAATTTCATTTTCTTTCCATGTATTGAGAAATAAAAAGTTTACTAATTCAATTTGCCGGCTTTACACATCTGTAAAATAATTTTAGAGTAAATGACTGCAAATTAACACGAATTACATAAAAAATTAAAGCGCACGTTACGCTGGGAAATTTTTTAACGAAAACCGCTGACTCATCTAACCTGACTCACTTTATTACAAGTGTCGAGCACCTCGAACAAGACGGGCTCTCCGTCAACCACGGCCTCACTGCGGTACCGCTGCTCTGCAACACAACCATTTGGTCTTAACCTCTTCGAGCACCTCGAACAAGACGGGCTCCCCGTCAACCACGGCCTCACTGCGGTACCGCTGCTCTGCAACACAACCATTTGGTCTTAACCTCAAATATTGTAGATTATAAATTATCTAGATTTTGGAGAATATTAGTGAATTTACTGAATTATATACTTCGTCGTGGAAACTTAATTAGTATTGGCTTAATAAATTTCTTCTTGAAGGCCAGCTAAACTAATATTTTTCTGATCTAACAAAAAGTTTTATTTTTATTATTGAATCTAATTGAATATTTTTACAGTTGACTATATCAGAAATATTATTTGGATTTGGTGACATTTATTAATGAGTGTGATTTGTTTTCATATATTTGAACTCTGGTATGAATTTTAACCTACCTAAAACAGAAATTATATGGGCAGTTGAATTTATTTTAATCCTTGTAAATTAAATTTAATAAATACAAAATTGTTTACAAATGACTCGGACTGGCAGCCAGTACAAAACTTACAGCTCATCACACCACACCACACATCACACCACACTACTAATCTCGGCACAGATTTCACCACACCAAACTAATAATCACACCACACATCTCATCACACCACATCATACATCTCATCTACCACGCATATCACAGTATATGTATTTATAAGCTTTTTATTCACCTGATTGGTGATCGTACTCTCCGATGTATCGCTTCGTGAGGAATCTCACCACGAGAGCTACGACAAACATTGTCCAATTATAAGTTGAATAGCAGAAACTAAATTATATCGCAAATTATTGATTAGCAGAATCCAAACGTATGTACCAATTTCACATTATATCTGGTGGATTTCTATTTCAATATAGCGGCATCGCTACCAAATACTGGTCTGTTGAAAATTTAGAATCAACGGACATTTCTTTCATGAGAGAAATTTTGGTATGAATGCTACAACTTCCTATTGTTCATTTCCTCCGTAATTAGACTAATAAATGAAAATATTTAAATATCAATACATACATCTAGGGCAATTTGTTAGAATTAATAAGTATGTTAAAAAGTAACAATAAATATAAAATTTCTAATAATAAAAATGGTGACATTTAAATATATTATATAGTTTTCTTACCGCTCTTGCCGACGCTGGGCGCTCCTATGACAGCGATCTTCACCTCAGCAACTGCCGACTTCTTGCGTCTGATGCCCCGCATGCCCGAGCTCGACATTCTTATGCCTGAAATTATTATATAAAACAATTACATTCAATAAATGTTTGCAATATTAAGAAATACTCTCAAATAGATCATGTTAATTCATCTTTCAGGAAATTTTTCATATGAATAAAATTTATTAAAAAAATTTAAATTAAGTAATTGGTTGGAAGTGCGATATTTTTTTGCATTTGAGCAAAATCTGAAAATAAGTTGGCACGTGGTCATAATATACATACAATAACTAATAAAGTAATTTAGATACTTTTTGAAGTTAGAGCTGTTTACCAACATTATTAATTAAGAGTTGATGAGTTTGTAGTAATTTTCGTTTAAATTATTCAGTTGCATTGTTATCTTCCTAACTCACAACATAGTCATGGGAGTGTTTGTTTATAAAATTACAGAATAAGTAAAAGTTAGCGCATAATTATGTAGAATTACGATTGGTNATTGGTCTGCTAATAAATGAACTTTCCAAATTATATTCTGATCTCAGTGTGGAGAAAACAATTCATGAGGAAGTAGAGATATTTCACAGTAGATCACAAAATTCTCGAAACTAATCAAGTGACTCAATCAACACTAAAATATCGTTTTAGGAATAAAACTCTGCTTATTGTTTAGAGACGCGTTAAAACAAATAGATTGTATCCATTACATCTGAGTTCACTTTTCAAAACAGCTCTAGAAACCATTACAGTCAATACTTGAAAGTTCGCCACGTAGGTTTATCATAGCGAAAAAAAAAACTTTTGAGTACGTTATCAGTTGTTCGCCTTAACGAATACCGATTGCTTCAGGTATGTTTTTATAATACTGCATCCACATGCATGTTCTCCAAATAAAAGTGACCTACTTTTTTGAACGAGGGATGAGGGAAAAAATATAACTCAGTACTCACTGCAGTGAATGACAGAGAGCGCATTTTCTCGTCGACGAAAACTTGAGGTCACGGACGGACGGACAGACGGACATGGCGAACACAATAGTGCATTTTTTCCATGAATGAGAAAATGCGCTAAAAATTATAAAATTTCGAGAAAGATGTAGAAGTTTACAAGCGACTGATCGAGGGCTCGTCCGTGTCTTCGATTGTTTGTGTGCGTCGCGCCTGCAGCTGCGACGAGTGGCGTCCGGCGCCATGACGAAGGCAGCGGCGAGCCAACATCAGCAGCGATGACGGAAACTGACACGCTTCAAGAATTCTTATGCCGTCTGTGAGCACATGTCGAGTAACTAGAATTTAATTATGCTACTCAGATGACTGAGATGGTACATGATGTGCTACAATAGGCATGTCCTCTAGAGGTTGGTGTAAGGCAATTGACCACAAAGATATACGATGGGTCCTTACGATTAAATAATCGTATCCAATTCTCCTAAGATACGTAGCGTGAAATTAGAACGTATGCAGGGGAGACAGAGCAGTGAAGAATTTTCAGCACAGAGCGATGTGTCCACATCTGCATAATGGCTTGTATCCTTTATGCCTCAAATTTCCTGGAAGTTTACTGATTAGAAAACTCAAATCTATGGGACAGTAAGCAATTACTAAACAAATATAAAATGCCCAAAATAAATTGAGTATAAGCGGGTAACCTTGCTCTGATTTGCTGTGCTTGAAGTGTGACATTCAATGAATGCCTTAATGCATGAGGCGTGACGACGAATGGCATGCCACTCTCATGAATATCTAAACGTTTAATGCACGCTTGAGATCTCCAATACGAGCGTTGCTAAAAAGAAATTTGACATGATGAGTGTGAACCTTGCAGTGAAGTGCAATGAAGTGAACTCTCGAAGTGCAGCAACAGCAGTCTGGGTGAAGGGCATTGCTACGGGCGCGTATACAGCTTGGCACGATGCCATTCAGGACCCGTTAGTAGTGTTTAAGGAAACTGTTGTTGACAGTAAATTAACGAGACTTTTCACAACTAATCTCACCTACAATAATATAGGGCAAACAAAATTAGAGAAACAGAACATCCAACTCAGTGAGAACATCCAAACATTCGGTGGCCTTGAGAAAGTGCAATAGAACGTAAATGATTTAGAACGTAAATAGAACGTAAATGATTTCCTTTAAATTATATATATCATTTAAAGGAAATCATTTACGTTCAGAAAGATGGAGCCACATGCATTCAAGAATTTTTGAATTAATGCGAGGCCCCCAGAAAATTTTTACATATTCAAGAGTATAGTTTATAAGTAGTCGTCGACATATATAGAATGGGAATATTATTATTTCGTCATATATTATTATATATGGCTCATATTATTTGATCCGTCATCAAATCATAAAATAATAACTACTCACCTTTCAATATTTTCGACTCGACAGCGAATGTTGACAATTCGAAAGACGTTGCACCTAAGGTCTAATTAGATTTAGTTTTTCCAATGGTCTCTTCTTCTATAATAATTTCGTGGACCTGCTTTATTTTTAACGACCTTGAAGGTTAACTGCATGAAATCAACGCTGATCTTAAAGTTCTCCTAAAAAACTCGGTCACATCAACTCGAATGTTGAATGAAAGCGAAATTTCATTAAGAATATAGTTTAAAAATAATCTATTTCTCATGAACATGTAGATAAACTCGCTTTGTGGGACATAAGTTGATATTAATAAATCTTTATCATCATCGCGAAAGTATGAGTACTTTCCTAACATTTATCGAATATAATTTAAAACATCGAATAAATTAAAAATACTCGGAGAGTACAGAGTAAAATTTTTATTGGAATCATGGCATTTAAATAAGGCACGCCGAACACTTCAGTTACGCTTGTACTCAAAGAATAAAAAAAAACATTCCTATGTTAAATAGTGAACAAATTTCCTAACCTTGAATTTAGTTCCCCTAATACTAATTTTATAGTCATGACCTGATGAGTCATGAATAGGCAATCATCAGTATTGCATGTTTGATTATATTACAGGAAAAAAGTAGTAGAAAATTTTAATGATAGCTGTTCCCTACTGAGAAAATTTTCACCTCAAATAAGATATAGGATATAACCTATATACCTGTACCAGTCGAGGGTTATCTTATAACCATATAACCTGTACCAGGATATAACCTGTACCAGTCGATAATATCTTAATCTGTACCAGTTAGAAAGGACATAGCCTGTTCTGATTAATAAAAGGTCATAACTGGCACAAGTTACGAAGGAAAAATTTAACCGGTACAAACAACGTAAGCAGATGCACTTGCTTATCACTTCAAGCTACAGCCCGCGACGCCGCAAGCCTCCGCATTAACATACGCGTTCACTCCACCTTCGAGGTGTACTGACCGAACTCAGGCACAGGGGCTGTGTTATGTTTGCTCGTCTGAGGCCCTGGCACCAAACCGACACAAGTGCGTGCAACTTGACGGGCGCGTTTGCGGCCAAAGTTGCTGCTTTGAAATGGTTATGAAGCATGTGTATCTTATTGAAAAATTTATTTTCCGTTTTGAAACCTAACAGTGCATTTTACTTTACTAATTGATTTATTTGTGTTTCTAGGACTGAACTGTTTCTAAACAGAATTTGGTGTTATGAACTGACGATGGAGCTGGACTCCGAAACGTTTTCTCTTATAAAGATATGGCGAATTTTTGTGGTATTTTCTTTGCTTTTAAATTACTGAAAAATTCATATCATCCAGTTGACCAGACTTTTCCTAAGCGAATTTTTTTAGATGAATTAGCAAGAACTGTAGGCTTTTAAAACCCCCTTGAGGAAGAAACCAATGTAAAACGTTTACTTGGACTTAACCAAGTCTGGTCAAAACATGAATCGTTTTGCACATTCATGCTTAATCCGCACAAAACTCATGCTACAAATTTATTACATTCAATGCTATGAATAAATTTCTATGTAATATTCTGAGAATTCTCACAGTTTGTCTCAATAAAAAAAAAATAAACATAAGCATAATCGATCCTTTGAAAGCTTCGTCTTTTACGTTCCAAATCTCCCTAATAAACGAATGCGTACAATTTACATGCAGAAACAAACTCCGTTGAGTTGGTCAGATTCGGGGCAACACCCAACCAGTTCACAGGTATTTAATGAAACAATAGAGCTTGTAAAAGGTAAATAATTTAAACCTTGTGATTCGGATTCGTCACCTGGAATGAAATTTATGAACAATTATACCAACGCAGATCCAACCACTACTCAGGATGATTATGAATGGAGGGAACATACTAATAAATAATGATGAAGTTTTCAAATTTTATTTGCAAAACTGAAAAGTGGAGAACAGTAATGTGAAGTGCCATGCAGGATGGCATGAAGGTCCTCTCAGGCTGGACTGAAATGCTCCGACGACTTGCAAGAAGTGTCCAGCATGTATAAGGTAGCCAACAGGCTTGTATGGAGTGGGCCGCAGGCTTGTATGATGTACCCAGCAGGCTTGTATGAAGTGGTAAGCAGGTTTGTATGGAGTGGGCCGCAGTCTTGTATGATGCACTCGTCAGGCGTGTATGAAGTGGTCAGCAGGTTAGTGTGAAGTGCCGCACGGGCTTGTATAAAGTGGCCAGCACGAGCAGCCTTGTCTGAAGTGGCCAACAGGTTAGTGTGAAGTGCCACACAACCTTGTCTGAAGAGGCCAGCAGGCTTGTATAAAGTAGCATGCACGCGCAGCCATGTCTAAAGTGGCCAGCAGGCTTGCGTGAAGTGCCACGCATGCATGCATGAAGTGGTCAGCTGACTTGCGTGAAGTTCCCAGCAAGCGTGTGTGAAATGTCACGCAGACTGTCTTTTTACTCTGTACCTCGGTGACAGCACTCAGCTGAGGAAATCAATCGAGTCACTCGTGGCTCTGAAGAATAATAGCAACACTACTGAAAGTTAGGATTAGTCTTCATCAGACATTGTTATCTAATTGCGCATTCATTGAGCATATAAACGTTATCTTTTGAATGTCGGTTATTAGCTACCTTTATCAGCCACCGTCACTGAAATGACACTCCGATATTTTGTTCCGCTCAGGTATCTATCAGGATTTCAAATAGATGTATCCGTATCATATGAATACGCATCAATAATCCAAATTCACGTATTAATTATTTGCCCACCTGTTATGTACTTGGTTTTTCTGTTAACAAAGCATAACCTTCAGCTATTTGGAACCATTTATGAGTTTTTAGATGTTTACGTAGCGAATGTTCATAGAAAACGGATCTAGCGGCTGTAGAACAAAGAGTTTTTGTGGTATAGAATTGAGATTTTGCAGATGTTGGCTACATAGGTTGTACATAATTCCATAGAATTTTTGTTTCAAACTGAATAAAATTTCAGGAGTTATAAGACTTTTAGTGAGCTCTGTTTTTTTTGTGTCACCCTGTATGAAGCTTCTCATTAACATATTTATATAAATGAATAAAGTTTAGCATCAGAAGATTTTATATCATTAATTTGAATCAGAATCTAAGTTTTCATGTGCGTGACTAAACTTAAATATCCTAATTTATTTTTGAAAACTGGGAGGATAATATTTAAAGGCGCTTCACGTGCGCAGCCTATGTTAATTGCCTAGGTGATGTTATAACTTTGCCGTGTTCATAGCTTTATCAGCGATGATATTTTATTTATTAAGTCCAATAAAGTTTCAACTTGTACGGTATCATAGCGAGATGTTTAACGGGAAAGCACTAGACGAAGAGAGAACCATAATGAATTATTTCTTTTTTTGAAAATCCTAATAAAATAATTGTTCTATAAGGGGGTAATATCTCTCCGACAGTCGCATTACTTAAAACTATCGTTTATGGAACTAACTCTCATCAATGTATCGAATATACGCCCATAGAAATAAGTACGAATAGTTACTTAATTAACCAAGTTTTAATTATTTCAGAAAAGCCAGTGTAATTGATGTCAGCTACTACATGCATAGCCATTATCTTTATATTAAAGTAAACTTAGCAGCTCGATCTTCAATTCACATAATTGACGTTCACTTCATTATTATTTATTTTAGTTCACTCTCTATTCTGTTTAAAAAATACCACAGACAGTTTCAAAATTTATAATTTTAACGTAGGAAGTTATCTGCTTAATAAAATCTCCTTTTCATTCATATGAACTCATAAAATAGACCATTCATAGAGCATTCTGGGGTTTTTAAAATCCCTTTGCGCTCTGGAGAGTCCAAATTGCCAGGTTATTGTGACTGTTTATGTTAATAGTACGAAGTCTCGAAACATTATTCATCATGAAGTAAGCACCTTCATAAACACTATTCACCACATTAATATTAATAATAATAATAATAATAGCGGTTTCAGCGTTTATTAGGCCGTAGGCCTGTCGCCGATTCTTAACATCGCAGAACATCCACAGCTTGAAGCGGTCTCGAACTCGCAACTCACTGCTACAATTCTGCTAGTATCGATATTCTTGAGCTTGTAAAAAACTGTTCCTCCTCCTGTTGAGATAAGGAAAATAAATGGCTCCAGCTTTGCCGTTCTCATAGTATTTCGAAATAAAACAAAAGGGGCAGCCAAGTTTATTTAGAGACCTTAATCATCATCTGAAAAATTAACAATAATATTTCTATTTATGTAAAAATGGTTACTCTGTTCAGAATTCCGCAAATCTTGACGTATTAACCATCTAGACTTCCAAACGATGTGGATTTAGCTTTGCTGGCAGGATTCAAACAGTTAATTTCCACACTGGACGTAAGCCGTTTACTTTTTTAATATGTTGGATCAATTTAATCTGAAACTAATTAATTTTGACTGCTAAACGAAAATTTCTATTCAGGCTTGAAATGTTGAAATGTTGCCGGGTTAGAAAACATTATTTGGACCTTAACTTAAATCTCATATTATATATAAGATCTCTTAGCTTATAAAATTTAGTTATTTTGCCCTGCGTTCCCGGTTAGAGTTGGCAACATATGACAAAGGTTAGGGAATCTTAGCTATAGCAAAGATTATAGAAAAGCTAATTATGAAAAGGTGACCTAATTTCTACGAGTAAGGTTTGAGGTAGGGCTTGATTTATAATATTAGCATTATTATTATTATTATTGTTATTTATAATTATTTATTATTATTACCATTAATATTAAAACAGAAGAATTAATTTTCGGCAAAATTTGTTGGATTTCTGCATTGTTTTTTGGACTGAATAGGTCACATTTTCACAGGAGTCTCTTGGTAAGATTAAAATATGTTCATATACATAGTTATTAAGCGATAAATCCATAGTTATTGACTCTTTGGTAGAATAAACTATTTAGCGGGACATTAAATTCAACATCAGGACATTAAATTAAACACATTAAACAACAACACATTAAATTAAACAACAACATATAAAATTGAAGAACGACACATTAAATTGAACAACAGCACATTAAATTAAACATCAACACATTAAATTAAACAACAACACTGCGATTATGAAAATGAAAACCGAGATCCAAGCCAGAAAATTTTCGAAAATTATTTCCGTAAAATTTCCAATTAGTATTGTCAACTCAAAGTGTGTCGGCGCCCGACTCAAAAGTGAGGCCAGTTCTGAGGCCACGTCGGGCGAGAGGCGTCATCTTGGGAGGCGCGGGAGTCCGGTTTAGAGGCGCCACTTTGCGCCTCGTGTAGCTACGCACGCGGTACCA